ATTGCCTTCTTGCTCGTGGTTAACAGCTCTTGGCAGCTTTTTGTTCTCTTACTGGTTTCCAAGCCTTCCACCTCCAAACCTGCCTACAGCAGTGACAATTCACAGGTAAACACATATCAAAAAGGGGACCACTCCCACAACCTGTCCCTACAATTATCTGGCTCATCTGCGGTGTTACAGATAAAGATTTCAACTCGAGTACAAATCCCAAACCTATCCTTTGATCTGAAAAATATAAGGATGCATCTCCTTGTTTACTTATTGGTTTTCAACTTTTCTTTGATCTAGATAATTACATTAAATTATTTAAAGGTCTAATATGGGTAATTGCCACCTTATCAGACTCCTCGATTCCTTTACAATGCTAAGAAATCCATCTATTGTTTATTGTTTTCATATCTAAGTCTAACCCACTTTAAATAAACATGGACCATCCTTTAGACGATAATTACAATAAAAGGTGTTTATCAGTCTCTCAAAGTCAAAATTCCTCCCCCATCCCATTTGTCTTCATTAACATTTCAATGCCCCACCTTAAAGATTTAACTCTTAAAACAAATCATGAAATTGGACATTTTCAGAACACCACACATACTGAGACACATGAAAATACACTGGCTATAGAACACACACACAAAAATAATCTTACTCTTAATAGTGTCACCCATAACCATGAATAACACAATCATGGACTTCTGAATGTCCTAAATTATCACCATACTTTGCATCAATTGCTTATCAATTTCCATCCAGACAAACAACATCCCTCATCAAAAATTCCCTGACATACACGGACCAGTTCCCAGGTGCTACAATGCAGATTGGACTTCCCTGCGCACACATACAATTAACTGGCTCCCAAAGTTTAAAGACTTTCCAATGCACAGACAGTCCAGCAGCTTTCTTCTCACATGCTGTTTCCTAATGAGACAATTCCTAGTAGCATATTTGGGTTCAAACACAAATCAAACCACATGACTGAATTAGTACTCTGGTTGGCATTTACGGTTTTAGTACTGGATTAGTAACTTAACGAGTCTGTGTGCATGTGCATGTTCATGTTCAAACCTTACCATGGAACGCTGTATAATGGTTTTCAATTGTGATAATAGTATGCAGGCTAGCACCACATAGTAACAACTACAAAAGCTGAATCCTTATCAAATCACTCAGTAATCTCTTAAGAATCCTGCCATACAGTTAACTAGCCTATTTGTCAGTGTCAAATGTAAGGACTGAGTTTGTTATTTTTGTGTCTTTAAAGAACTGTGCACTCCAATGAAAAACAACTGTTGTTTGTAAAAACAGGTATTTATCAGGATGGCTGCATAATTTAACAGCAAGGAATTTGGTATCTATTGAGAACTGTTTTTATAGTGGTGTGTTCCTACAATGTGCTGACTATCAACAGCAAAGGCAGTGTTTACAAGTGAAGCTGATAGTGCAGTTCCAACTTTCTCAGCTGACAACCAGCGAGAAAGACACATAAAGTCAGTTCTGCTGTAACGCGTGTTTCGGCGACGTGAATTGGCTATAACGCGACTGACGAATACAGAAATGCTATTTCTAAAACGTACACTTATGTTGGCTATGATGTGATTTAAAGAGGCTGATTGCAGCCATTGAGGGGGATAAGGACAGTCTTCTTCAATTTTGGAAGAGCTTTAACTTCAAGAATGCAATTAACCTTATTGTGGAGGCCTGGAGTAATGTCAATAAGGACTGCTTGCATGTAGATTGAGAGAAGCTTCTCCCAGATTTTTTCTAAGATTTTAAAGGCGTTGATCCATCAGAGGAGCTTCCAAGAATCAAAAGAACATTGTATTGATCTTGTAAAGCAAGTTGCATTTGAAGAAGTGGAGAGTGAGGATATTGAAGAACTGCTCGAGTCCCACCGTGAAGACCTCTCTACGGCTGATTTACAAAAACTTGAGACTAAGGGGGATGTGGAAGCTGGAGGTGAGGAAGCTGAAGTCCATGATGCAGCACCACGAGAGCTTTCCACTTCTGTTTTGTCTTCTATCTTGAGGGAGATTGAGAAGCAGTTGCAGCTCTTAGGAGGACAATTACAATGCAGAATGAAGCAGGATAGCAGTTCATGGAATAAGATTTTATTTGGCACCGTATAAACAGCTTCTTCATGAAAGAAGAAAAAAGGCAAGGCAGCAAAAACTGCATGTTTTTTTTAAGCCAACCCCCAAGAAACAGTCAGAAAACAAATGAACCACAGCCATCCACTTCTGGATTAACTATTTTTCACCCAAACCCTGCAACCACAACCGCACCTGATGACGATGATGACGACGACGACGACAACGACGACGACGACAACCCTCAGCCCCTGCATTAACAACAAGGCAACTTCAAAACGTCCTCCCCCATCAAGTTATCTTGACATTTTTCAAGGCAAGGTCTTAAATTTACTTTTATTTCATTATTAGATATGAATTAAACATTTATTCAAACTGTGCTATCCATTGTGTTAGGCTTTTGAATGATTTTTTTGGTGGTCTGCCCCAAGCCCGATTTTCCCATAGGCCCCATTATTTCTATGGCGCAATTTTCTATAATGCGATGTTGCGCAGAAACACAACTATCACTTTATAGCAGAAACGACCATATGTATACCGCCGTTCTCTTTAGCTGAGGTTACCTGTTCTCTGCCATAAATAAAGCTGTTTAAACTTGAAGTAAACCAGTTATCTTTCCTGAAGTTACTGTGACTTTCAATTAATAAATAAGATGGATTCTACAAGTAAACTCTACACTCAGCTTCTTACAAACCAGTTCATCCAAAAGAACACCAACAGCTTATCTAGCCCTAGAAGAATCATTTCAACATCAGAAACAGAGTGCAAAGACCACTGAACTGGCTTTCTACTTTTTTTCTACTTCTCTATTTGTTCATCTATATCTGTATGTAATGGGGAGTTTAAGAGGATTAGAGTTTCAGTTAGTAATGCTATATGCTTATGGTTTCATAACTCTTTACCTGTAGCTATTGTCTAATTACTTTTAATTAATAGTAATTCTTGGTTGGGACAAAGACATGATAAATGCTTACTATCAACCTTGGTCTGAAAGCCAGCAAATTGGGATACCATGCATACTTTTATTACAAGAAATATTTGGTACGACTCCAGCTTTAGCAGGGCTCAACTTACAGTGCACTACCACAATAGGTCATATCAAGTACAGCTATGACATCTTACTTTCCTGAAGTGGCTTAACAAGCCTTTCAGCTATAAAAACAAAGTCATTAGAAGTTCTGACATTAGGTTCTCAGGACATCAGAAGAATAGGCAATAAAGCAGCCTTGCTTGAATTATATTCAAATAACACCTCAGCAAAGCCACCCACAGAAAGATGTAATAACAACATGAACGTTTACATATGCTGTTTCGATTATAAATTTGGATAAAGAAATTTATAATAGGAATACATAAAAACAGCAGGACATATAAGTTTATCTATAAAGAGAAATAGAGTTAATATTTCATTTACTGATGAAAGAAAAAAAAAACTTAAGAAATGGGAGCAGTAGTAGGTCATTCCATCCCTCATGCCTTCCCAGCCATTCTAAGAGATTATGGCTGACCTGCTCCATGGTCTCAACTCCTCTTCTGTACCAGCTCCCATTAGATTTGTGAAATATCAAGAAGTTGAGAGCTATCTACCTCCACTATAAATATTTTCTGTGATGTGGCCTCCACAAGTGTCTGCAGTAAAGAAGTCCAGACACACAATCACTATGCTTTGGAAGAAGAAATTCCTTTGTGTCTCAGTGTTGTTGTTCTATAACTATGTTGCCCAGTCTGTGATTTTCCCACCAGGGGAAACATCTCCTCATGCAAAATTCTAAGGGTGTTTGACAGGATGTATGTTCCAATAAGATCACCCCTTATTGTTCTAAATTCTAATGAATGCAGGCCTAACCTGCTTAGCCGTTAATGATAAATTCAACCCCTTCTCCCAGGAATCAGCCCAGTGAATTTCTTTTGAACTGTCACCAATACAGTGTATCCTTTCATACATACCAGAAAACACTAATTCTGTTTCTATCTCCACAGATGTTGCCAGACCTGTTGATATTTCTAACATTTTTATTGCTATTTTAAAGCAACAAAATTGTGCAAAGAACAAAATGACCACACTCCAACGTTATAACTTTTTAAAACATTACACACAGTGTATATTTCCTATAATGAGTGTTAAAGAGTGCTCTTACTGGGAGATCTTACTGTCTTTTCCCAACCAATTTTCTTTTGATCTTACATTCCAAAACGTGAATATGGTCATATTTTCATACATGTCCAGAATTTAACTTCAAATAAAGATTATTGATATCAAAAAGAAATCAAGAAAAATGTAATCTTGATTCAGGCTCAGCAAAATCTGACCAGCCTACACTCCCCAAATGAAAATACTATTTGTTTCCCCGACTGACACATGAATGTGATGAAAAACTAACTTGTTTCATAATTTTTAGAAAGCTTGTTAATCAGACATATTTTATCCTGCTTTCAGCATTCCAAGTGTATCAAACATCTTGAAGAAACTACTCAGAAATAGTTCCCAACTCGAGTTGTAATTAATAAACATAATTCGATAATCATAAAATAATTTCAGTAAAAGGATTAACTCAACCCAATTTCTTTTCGAGTATCCGCGGTATTCTGCTTCTATTTCACCCAACTTTCTGAGGTTGGATGCAAAGCGCATCCAAACTGTACGTTTTCCAGGTCCACTCTAACCGGTGGTCATGCTACAAGGCCTGCAAAGGTAGTGAGGTGGGCCGGGGGCAGGTGATGCAGAAGTCCAATATTACTTTCAATAACATCCCTTCCAGATCATGTGGTGGATCGAAGTTACTTACGAGAAGCAGCAAAACAGGCAGCAGGCCTCCACCGCTTGGCCCGGCTCTGCACACTCATGTGAGCCAAACGATGCCAAAGCACCGTGCAGGATAGAAACGGACGCTAGGGGAGTACAGTACTCACCAGCCGCGAGCCGGATTGCGCAGAGCTTGTTGGCTCGTCGCGGCGAACATCCACAGTGTTTCAAACAGGAGCCCCGTTACTGCAGTTACTGTCAGACATTTGCCTTTAACAGACTCCAGGAGCCACCATGTCCAGCCCAAAGGACGACGGGAAGAAAAAAAAAGCCAACGTCCGGAAGGAGGAAGGAGGCTCCAACCATTCAACTATCAGCCCTTCCTCATACTTTCATTACAACGTAGATGGCATATTGGAAAGTGTCTGTCTCCATCCCGCAACAAAACCAGCCCGACGATCAGATTTCAGTGACTTGCCTGTTTGTTGCAGCTGCTGTTCGGAGTTGCGTTGGTGCAGTGGACTCGTCCAGTAACCATAGCAACAGCCACAACTAAAGATGGCGACTCTGTTGACGCTGAAGAGGCAGCTGCAGGGACTGAATGAGGACTTTTTCCGCAGAAACTGGTAAGGAAGGAAGAGAAACCACTTTGCAAAAAGGGTAGAAGAAGGACGTTCACTGCTATTGAGGAATTATTTACAGTTGCATCCCTTCCCCGTCAACTGAAATTTGTTTCAAAAGTAAAAGAATAGAACAGAACTGAAAAGTTGAGCGACAGCTGTCATAAATACCATTGAGTGTCCGATTGCGTTGGAGATTAGCTGATGTCGTGCGTCTTATATTTTGTAGAATGTTTGCCGGTGGTCAATGTCTTGGTAAAGATAATCGAGAACGATATTAATGTCGCTTGTCATACTTTTGTGTGCTGCACCTCAACAGTGCTCAGCGTTGACAGTGGAACTTGAGTGGGAAGTGCAGGATGCCAACATCCCTAGAATATAAACTTGCTATTGTTTAACTTGAATTAAAAAGCAGTACCTCACAGTTAATAATATATCTTGTCACACGTAGGGAGACCAGATTAGATGGTGAAATATTTGGATGCAGGAGTGGTGTGAGAACTATGAGTTTTGATTCGGGAAACATTAATACGGGTACGGGGGAGATACGGAGCTGTTCCTTCGGAATGGGTGGACATTTAATAAAACAACGAACTGCGGATGCTGAAAATCTGAAACAAAAACAGAAACTCCAGGGGGTCACTGGACCCGAGACGCTTACTCTGTTTTCTGTCCGCAGATGCTGCCAGACCTGCTGAGTTTTTCCAGCAATTTCTTTTTTAGGTTTGGGCGGAAGTTTAAGGGGCTGGGACCAGTATCCTGGTAAATAGAAAAACTTGAGTGTACATCCGGCTTTAATAACCTAAAGAAAAAGTGTAGGCGTAGGAAATGAGTTGGAGGGTGGGGGATCCAATGAAATGTAAGTTATAAAACAGTAGGGAGACATGTAAAGGCTATGGATTAATATAACAATTTCGACTGAGTGAGCAGTATGGAACGAGAGACGGGGCTAAACAAGGATATGATTCATTAGTGACTAAATAGCGTCCCAGAAAAAAGTAAAATTTAAATATAATGTGTGAATATATGAATTATACAAAATAGATTAACTTAAAACACAAAATAAATGTGTTTGATTCAATATTTTTTGCCTTGTTCATTCTCTCAGAAGTCACACGTCACCAGGTTACAGTCCAACAGGTTTATTTGAAATCACAAGCTTTCGAAGCACTATTCATTCATCAGGTTCACTCTGCAACTACGTAAACTAAAAGTTCAAGGACATTTGACTTCTAGCTGTGAAACATAAACATAAAACTTCATTTTCTTGTTCCACTGAATGACGCTGCTGTTGAGAACTACATTAGTCCAAATTATTCAAATACACCAACACTGCTGCTAGGAACGGAGTTCCAGGGTCTTGATCCAATGATAATGAAGAAGTGGTAATTCAGTTGCAAGTCAGGAAGGTGTGTAGCTCATAAGGGTACTTGCATGTTGTTATACCCATATGACTGCTGTCCTTGTTCTTCGGATAGGGCTCTTGTTTCCTCGGATGTTGGTGGCTAGCACGAGGGGACATAGCTTTAAATTGAGGGGTGATAGATATAGGACAGATGTCAGAGGTAGGTTCTTTACTCAGAGAGTAGCAAGGACATGGAATGCCCTGCCTGCAAAAGTAGTAGACTCGCCAACTTTAAGGGCATTTAAATGGTCATTGGATAAACATATGGATGATAATGGAATAGTTTAGGTTAGATGGGCTTCAGATTGGTTTCAGATTGGCGCAACATCGAGGGCCGAAGGGCCTGTTCTGCGCTGTAATGTTCTGTGTTCTACGTTCTATATTCTTCTCTGGTGCTAGAGGTTACCCATCTTGTATATGACACATACTGCTGCCATGATGTGTTAATGGTGAAGGGAGTGAATATTTAACATAGAGTATGGGGTGCCAAAAAAAAGTTTGCCTTATCCTAGATAGCATTGGAGATTAGCTACTCGAGGCAAGTGGAGAGTAGATCATATTCCTGAATTTTACTTGTAGATGATGGACAGGCGTTAGAAAGATGGAAGGCAAGTTACTTGCCTCAGAATTCCAAGTCACTGATCTGCTCTTTTACCCATGATATTTATATGGCTTGTCCAGTTCAGTTTCTTGGCAATGGTGATTCTCAGGAAGATGGTAGTTAGGGATTCAGCAATGCTAATGCCGTTGAAGGGAGATGGTTTTTGCCTGGCGCTTGTGGTTATACCATAATACATTTGATGTGGCAAGAATGGCTTGCCCAAATTTTTTCACGAGTTTTTGAAAGTCTGGGAAGAAAATTGACTATTATTTTCAGGCAGTTCGCTTTCCATATCATGAATAGCCTTCACCATCCCACCTTTAGAGACCTTGAAATTCATCACACCCAAGAAACCTAACTTACCTGAATCTGAGAAAACACAGTGTAGAGCTGGAGCAACACAGCAGGCCAGGCAGCATCAGAGGAGCAGGAAAGCTAATGTTTCGGGTCGGGACCCTTCTTCCTCCAGCTCCACACTGTGTTATCTCTGACTCCAGCATCGGCAGTTCTTACTATCTCTTACCGGAATCTGAGATCAATTGAGACCTTCACCCTGGGAGTGGTTGCAGTCCCAACAGTACTGAGCGACATGGTGGCTCAGTGGTTAGCACTGCTGCCTCACAGCACCAAGGACCCATGTTCAATTTCAGCCTTAGGTGACTGTGGAGTTTGCATGTTGTCCCTGTGTCTGCATGGGTTTCTGCTGAGTGCTCTGATTTCATTCCCACATTCCAAAAATGTGCAGGTTAGGTGGATTTGCTGTGCTAAATTGTCTGTAGTGTCCAAGGATGTGCAGGTTAGGTGGATTAGCTATGGTAAATACGGGGTTACGGCGATGGGGTGGTGGGCTTGGTCCGGTTGGGATCCTTTTAGGAGGATCATTGCAGGCTCGATGGGCCAAATGACTTTTTTCACACTGTATGGATTCCAATTCTACCTACTAGAAGATAGGCGACAGGTTTAGATAGAGGATCTGGATCGGCGCAGGCTTGGATGGCCGAAGGGTCTGTTCCTGTGCTGTAATTTTCTTTGTTCTTTGTTCTTTGTACTATGAGCTCCGGGCTGCCAGGGCCACTGGCTTGTGAGATTGACTGACAGCTACAGGTTTCCCACTTTTGTCCCCATGCAGTGTGAATTGTTCTTCCTCTATATGTAGTATATTTAGATTTTCAGATAGCATTCAATAAAGCTCCATTGGAGATTATTACACAAAATGAAACTGTAGGAATTGTGAGTTGTATATTATCATGATTTGAGGATTAGTTAACGTACAGAATAGGAATACACAGGTCAGCTTTAGGCTGGCAGATTGTAACTAGTATGATGCAGGAAGGTACATGCTTGGCTCTTAGCTATTTAAATTTATGTTAATAACTTGAATGGCAAAACTAAATATGATATGTCCGTATTTATTGAAAATGCAAAGTTAGATGGCAAAGTAAGCTGTAAGATGGATGTAAAGCTGCTGCAAAGGGATATAAGGGGGTTAAGTGAATGGGCAAGAATGCAGAAGATGGAAGACAATTTGGAAAAGTATGAAATTATCCACTTTCATTGAAAAATGGAAAAGCAGCATATTTTATGAATGATGAGAGCCTGGGAAATGTTATTCACAGGGATCTATACATAAATCACAGAAAGTTAAAGATACAACAGTTACAAAGTTGTGCAATATGCTAGTCTTTATTTCAAAAAGATTGGACTAAAAAAGCAAATA